CATTCAAGTCACCAAACTGCAGAGTTTGATGATTTCTGCAAAGAGAATGCAATCATCTGTCTTTGTATGCCTCCACATACATCTCATCTCCTTCAGCCACTTGATATTGGTGTTTTTGGGCCGCTTAAACGCGCATATGGAAAACTAGTTGAGGGGATGATGGTTGCTGGAAATAACCACATTGATAGAGGATTTTCTGCATCTATATCCTCCTGCACGTGACCAGGTCTTTACTGGAAAGAATATATGCAATGGCTTTGCAGGTGCTGGTCTTAAGCCACTTGATAAAGTCTGGGTTCTTAAAAATATTACTTTTCAACTTCGTACGCTGACACCCCCACCCCTTATTGAAGTTGAAGGGTCAGTTTCCTCTGCTTTTCAAACACCTCAGAATCCTCGTCAAATTGATCAAAGGTTCGAAGCCTACAGAGAAGTCTTTAAAAAGAAAAGAATGCTTTCTAGCAGTCCAGTCTCTCATATTCAACATCTATCTTGAAAAGGCAGCGCAGATGGCAATGAATATAAACATTCTTCTTCATCAAGAAATCAGGACTCTACGCACTGAAAATGAGTGCAAAAAGAAGAAAGCAAGGAAGCAAGGTTCTATTGGAGGTGGCCTCTTCATATCTGTACAGGAAGATCGTGAGCGCATTCAGCAGCTGGATACACAGCTTAATGAGCAGGTTGATGAGCCTATATCTGTAACTCATTGGCGCGCTCCACCACGCTGCAGTGGCTGTGGAACTATTGGACATACCATAATAAGTTGCTCTAGTAAATAACTATTCATTTCATCTTTTAAATAGACTTATTTAATGACGTTGGTGGTTGAAAAGCTTCAAAAATCATGTTGGTTGCGGCAAAGGTGTGCAAATTGGCCGTGGATTACATTACTAATAGTGAAAAGACTATCAGTACTATGAATAACCACACTTATAATGGAATGAAGTTAAAGTTGACTCAATGCCTGTGAGAGAGGAAATCAACAATGGTCTAATTATAGCTGGTCTAATGAATCTAATAATATCTTATAATGGACCTTTGTCCCCTGCTTCTCTGCCACTAGAAAGATTGTAAATTCTATGTCTCAGACCTTAAATATAACATCCCCTAATAAAGACAAATCCTGTAACTATTAGAGTAGAAAAATAGCCTTGTATTAATCCCTTTTATAAGAAATAAGATTGTTATCACTTATAGATATCTTTATTTTAATAGTACAAGATTTTTCTAAGAGGCTAGATAAATAGATTAATTAGCTTGTACAAAAAGGACTTTGCTTGTCTATCTATAAAAGATAATAATTTTAAGATCTCTGTTATCTCTAATAAATTAATACCCCTTTCATGCCAATTAAAGAGCCCTCTTTTAATAAATATATTAGAGTTTTTGCTTGTTGTCTACTAGAGATATATAGATGAATTATGAAAATGTTGTAGAGCTAAGTGACCTAATAAACTAGTAGGGCTATTAAATTATTTGCTCCCTAAAGAATGATTGTTTATTAGAGCAAGCTAAATGGAGTCTGAATAGCTGTTTTATCCTAATTTCCTTTATAAGAAACTATCCATTTTAATAAGATCCATATTTAAGGACTTCAACCCTTATTCAATCCCAGAAGATCTAAAGAACAGTATTGAATAAAGTTCTTAGAGCATTAAACCTTAGAATTTGCCAGATCTTATGATCTCTCATTCTTATCCTTTATAACAGGGTCACTTCCAGATAAACTTAACATTAGTATTTCTAGTCTTAAGTAACGTAATCTATCACCGAGAGGCGCGGTCGGCGGCCCCTGAATTTGTATACTACCACCACCACTTTTCAATCCTACTTTTCATCAGATTATCCATCATGAATGAGCTTTCTAAAGAAGAACTGCCTGTGCACAAGCATTTGATGTGCCATCAAGAACCTTAATGAAACGCCTGAATGGAGTCTGCTCCCGCAAAGAATCCACTGCAAATGGCCGGAAATTATCAGAAATTGAAGACTCTATCTAGATGGATTCTAGATATGTATCAGCATGGCCTACCTCTTCAAATATCAAATGTCTGCTATCTTGCCCAATTACTGCTATCTGCACGGCTGAAATCCCCCGAGAAAGCCACCATTGGTGAGCTATGGGTTAACCGGTTTATTCAACGCCGTCCTGAGCTCAAATCTAAATATACCCGCAAATATGACTATCAGCGTGCCAAATGTGAGGGTCCTGAGTTGTTCAAGAGACCATCCAAAGATATGGCATTCTGGAGCAGGATATATACAATATGAATGAATCTGGTTTTCAAATGGGAGTGGCATCAACTGCAAAGGTTATCTGTGGCTTGGAGACTAGAGATAGCCATGCCAAATCCATCCAGCCTGGAAATTGTGAGTGGATTACTATAATAATCACCATAAATGCCTTTGGATCTGCTCTACCTCTGCAGATTATCCTGGCCAGGAAAAACCATTTACTTAACTACAGTAGTCCTGCTAATAAAGAACTTAATAAAACTGAATTACAGCAGAGGGAATGTTAAAAAAAAAAGATTATTATACTAATCTGATCTCTGATATTAGAACAAAGTTTAATAACATTCTACACTCTTAAATTGTCAATTTCCCTTATGCTAAATGCCAAATACAGAGATATACAGAGCAGCAGATAATTATTAAGACTAATTTAATATTAAAAGAAAATGAGCTACTTCTTGAAATAATCTATAAGCAAGGAGTATTAACATAATCTATCACTGAGAGGTGCATATCACTGAAAGGTGCAGTCAGCAGCAGTGCATACTAATTACTTCATACATCTACATAGTATCCTCTCCATGTTATAAAGCATACCAAATCTATTAAATCTATTACTATCTAAAGAGGGCATTTTAATCTATTATGGCCCTCTTGGCTGCAATTACTACACTGTACAGGCTGCTGTGATCTTGATGATGGCTCTTCTTGCACCTCTCTTTGTCTCAATCTTTGCAGCCCCTCATCACCAGTTATGCTCCCTCCATCTTGAATAAAGGCTCATGTCATCTTCTTCTCTTTCTGATGCTTATTTGAGGTGCAAAGCTGATGGAGTTCTTGTTTTAATAGAACAGCATTCTGCATTGCAACTTCTGTGCTCTTCATGAACTTTTCAAGCATCTGGTCTGCAACAACTGAAGATAGGGATTGATTTTAAAGGTCTTCATCTCTTGAAGCCATTCAAATCCCAAATTATCATTTTTCCAGCCATTATCACTCATGCTGATTTTGTATTCCTTTGGAATAGCTGAATACCACTGAGATTGATGCTTTTTCCCGGCCAAAATAATCTGCGGGGGTAGAACAGATCCAGAGGCATTTATGGTGATTATTATAGTAATCAACTCATGATTTCCAGGCTGGATAGATTTGGCATGGGCATATATAAAGGAATAATATTCATTTCAGTACAAAATCTGTTGAATTCTGCAGTGGCATGGCTGCTATGGCCATCCAAAATCAGCATGCAATATCTCCATTCACGATTCCCAGGCTGTAAGGCTTTGGCATTGCTTGCCTGAGTCTCTGAACCACATATAACTTTGGCTGTGGATGTCATGCCCATCCGAAATCCGGTTTCATCCATATTGTAGATATCTTGCTCAAGAATTCCATATTTTTCAATAGCATCACGGAAGTGCTTATACTGGGTACCCCATAATAAGCTCTGGATCTTCACATTTGGCATGCTGGTAGTCATATTTTCGGCTGTATTTAGAGGAGAGTTCATCATGGCGTTGAATATACTGAGTCACCCAACACTCGCCCACATAGGCAGTCTGGGAGGATAGCCGTGCAGACAGTAATAACTGTGCCAAATAGCGTACAGTGGAGATTTGTAGAGGTAGGCCATGCTGGCCCATATCAATAATCCATTATGAGAATGTCTTTTCTTCAGTAGGTGTCAATTTTCAGTGATATGGCAACTGATTCCTTGCAGCATGTGGTTCCTTTGACTTGAGACTTAAAGGTAGAGAGAGGCACATCATATGCCTTTGCTGCTGCATTTCCTGATGGAAAAAGGCCTTTTTTAAATGCTTCTAGAGCTAGTTTCATGTGATCTTCTTTTGAATTATCAGCCATGGTTGTGTTTGTGGATAAATTGCAAATATGGATGGTAGGTGGTCGTGGATGTGGCCAGCTGGCCAGGTCGGTGATTTGGCCAGGTCGGTGATCAATTACATTAGTTTAAGCTATTAACTAATCAGCTTTTTCAGATATTATTAATATTACACTTGTTAACTAATGTAATCAACCCCTGAGCAATGAATTCTCACCACAACTACCAGGGTTTTGATGTTTTTTCAACCACCAACGCCATTAGATTCAACTATATAAAGATGAAAAAAATAGTTATTTACTAGGACAGCTCCTTATAGTATGTCCAATAGTCCTGCAGCCACTGCAGCATGGTGGAGCACACTGGTGAGGCATAGATGCCTGCTCCTCAATCTAGTCCTCAGCCTGCACATCAAGCTGCTGAATGCAATCTAGACCTTCCTGTACAGATAAGATAATATCATTTCCTAATACAGCATGTCTCCTTGCCTTCTAAGTTTTCTACTCATTCTCAGCCTGTAGAACCTTAAATTCCTTGAAGAAGAAGATTTGTATTCATTGCCATCTATGCAGCCCTTTCAAGATGTTGAATATGAGAGACTGGGCTGCTAGAAAGTGATATTTTCTTTTGAAGGCTTCTCTGTAAGCTTTGGACCTTGTGATCAAGCTGACAAATATTCTGAGGTGTTTGAAAAGCAGAGATTGTGCCTTCAACTTCAATAAGAGGTGGTGTTGGTGTATGAAGTTAAAAGGTGATTTTCTCAAGAACCTGGTCTTGATCAAGTCACAAGTGGTTTAAGACCAGCTCCTGCAAAGCCACTGCATATATTCTTTTAAGTAAAGACTGCTTTGCATGCAGGGGGATATAAATGCAAGTCCTCCTTATCAATGTAGTTGTTTCCAGCAACCATCATCCCCTCAACCAATTTTCCATATGCACATTTGAGTGGTCCAAAAACACCAACATCCAGTGGTTGAAGGAGATGAGATGTATGTGGAGGCATACAGAGACAGATGATTGCATTCTCCTTGCAGA